ACTGTGTATCACTGGTTAACTGCGTTTAATCGAAAGCGGTCTGTGCACACGGACGAATTTAAAGTAGTTCACCCTAAATGGTTGTTGTACCTCAAAATATTGATACTGGAATTAAAAATGCAACATGACGATGTTTCTGGGAATAAGTATGACGAGTATATATAAAATATTACTCGAATATTTATCTGTGAAAATTTTTGTTCATGTTGGATTCCGCACAACTTGAGAATTGACCAAAAACGGGCTCGGCATTAGTGTAAAAAATGTTACAAAAGTACAATCAGGGTGCGTCAAAACCTGTCAATAATATCTACACAGGTGATGAATCTTGGATATATGCGTATGATCCTGAAACTAAACAACAATAAACGGTTTGGGTGTTTGATCCGAACCCAACAAAAATCATTAGTTAAAAAAAGAACGTTAAAGCAAATAGTCGCTTGTGTTTTTGGTATAAATGGCTTCAGTGCCACTAGAGGATCGTAAAACGGTTAATTCTGAATGGTACACGACCATTTGTTTGCCAGAAGTCTTTGAAGAAATATGGAAGACTAACCGACAACGAAGAATCCTTCTTCACCATGACAATGCAGCTAGCATTGTCATGATGAAGAACACACACATCGGCCGAAACAACTTAGTACTTGGAAGATCGAATTAACGAGTCATTCGCCGTACAGCCCTGACTTGGCTCCAAAGACTTCTATTTATTCCCAACCGTGAAGAATAAATTACGTGATCAACGTATTTCGAGCCGTAAAGAGGCTGTTGATGCGTTCAAAATGCACGTTTTGGAGATACCACAATCAGAATGGAAAAAGTGCGACGAAAATTTGTTCCAACGTATGAATCGATCATCACGGCGAATATTTTGTCAAGCAATAAAACTATAATAAATGCTATATGTTTGTTTTACTTTGTTATTCCGGATACATAAATAGCAGCCCTCGTAGCAAGGATATTTTTCTAAATATCTCTACTTTTGAAAGTACAATTCAATTTTTATAATAGCAAAGTAAAGTTTTCAAACTGTTTTTTTTGCGTTTAAGTTTCTAATTTTACGAAAATGATCGACTTGAATTTAAATAATCTTGAATCTGCTAAATTCTAATATATACTAATAGTAGTTCGTGTGGTGACGGATTAAGATAACGGATGTCACCACCCCTATTCATGGTGTCATAAGAGCCGACTATGTAAGGGAGCAAACTACGCAGGACCACAGCACTGCAAAGAGAAGGAAAACTTGTAACAAACCCTATATCAACCCGTCTGGCCTTGTGGTATAGTAGGCCAAAACCTCCTTTCTAAGGAGAGGCTTATGTCCTGCAGTTGACTGTTACAGGCTGTTGATGATGATGAGTACATCTACGTAGTAGTTTCCAGTCGTCCCTACCGGTAGGGATACATCAATAGGGATATTTTCAACAATCAATGTGTTCCAGATAACCTGCTCTCTGCTTTACTCTCCAGAGATCATTTTAATTTTGCTTTACTTGAATTTGTTTTTAGATAAGCGTCTAAGGAAGTGAGATGACAGAATGCAAACAAATTTGATGTCAAATTTATTGATTGGAAGAAAGCGTCATTCCGAACAATTTGGCTAGTTATTCCACAGATAATGTATAGATACTTAAAAACAACAATGTACAAAAACTTTCATTTAGTACTAGCTTTTGGCTTAAAATGTAGCCATGTTACTTGCTCATAATGTAGCTTTCTATTGGTGAAAGAATTTTTAAAATCGGTTTTGTGGTTTAGGCGTAAAAGCATAACAAACAAACAAACTCCCAAACAAACATTGATAATATAAGTATAGATGTACAATCTGTATATTTACAATATTATATTCGACACTATAAACGTTCTATGGGTATGCGTCGAAACGCACGTGCGGGAATAGACATGACGATTTTATTTTGATTTCCTTATCATTATATCACACAGAAGTTATTGGGAGTCATATCAACTTTTACTGTAAAGGTTATCACTTATCAAGTAATTGTTTTATCAGAAACATTCGCGACTGAACTTTTTAACAGACTAATTTCTACACATTTTTTTTCTTTGGTAGGTAAGTTATAGGATGTGCCCAGTTATCGCATGGATAAATAAATAGAATCAATCTTTTAAAATAATTATTCGTTTTGAAGAAATTAGTCATTTTTTTTTAAATTATCTTCTAAGATCTTCGGTGATAGAGTTCATCAAAAAACAAATATATCCAAAAAAATAAGGATGGCTTTAGTCCCTGATGGGTTAGAATTCTCCACACAAAGTTTCTAACCAATTTACATAATATACATGTTTCAATCGCTCGGTGATACCCGTGCTATAAAATAGCTGTATTACATTAAATATAAGCTAATTATGAATTCAGATTGCATAAGGAAAATGCGAAAACATAATAACATACAATAATTTCTTACTTTAAATGCTGTCCAATGTATGGTATGTAAATTGAATGACATAATATTTATTGTTCCCACTTGTAATGCATACGAGTGGAACTATAAATATTATGTCATTCAAGTTAATTAAGACAAATGTCTCAAGTTTTAATAGATAAATAACTTTATATGAAAGTATTTAGCAGACCACAATCTCGTGGGCACTTAAAGAAATTGATAAGCGTTATTAACATCTGTTAATAAACTACGCAGGACAACAATACTGCAGAGAGAAGGAAAACTTGACACAAACCCTATGCCAACCCGTCTGGCCAGCGTGGTATAGTAGGCCAAACCCTCCTTTCTAAGGAGAGGTCCATGTCCAGCAGTGGACTGTTAAGGGCTGTTGATGATGATTAACATCTGTTGCATAATCGGCGAAACATGGATGACATGGGTCTATCAGCAGATACACCAATAAGTTAAAACCACTTTCTCAATTGTATATTAGGTAGGTCAAAATTTATGTTTTGACGGCAGACTCTAGAAGAGATTGCTCTTAGCAATAATTAGGCGAATCTTGGGAAAGGCCTATACACCAGTCGACGTCTTTTGGCTGAGATGTTAACTTAATAGTGACTCATGAGTAAGCGTTGAATTGGTTCTATAAAGGCCAATGCCACAGTGACTCCAAACTATGCCCAATAAATTATATTAAAACGTCTTTGTTATGAACAGATAGTACGCTTTATTTACGTAGTGTGGACGTAGTAGTCTACACGTGTATAGATTACTCATTTTCCAGTTGCATACTGTATATATTATGCTTATATGTAGGTGTGTGGTCGGCGTAATAAAGCTGTTTGTAGACGTAAGTAATTGTAAATATGGACATGCTTTATTATTTCTATATACACACTTTTAATATAGAACGCTTTTGTTTCGTTGACCAGATAGATGTTGTCGTTGATGTGTGAGTGTGTGAAAAAAGAAGGCAAATTAGTCCAAACCTTCTCAAATAATGCCCATTTTAACCAACAGCATTTAATTTTAATTTTTTACTCGATGGCTAATCTGCCCCGATTTCGCACGCATGCATGAGCATGTCAAAATTAGTTAATTTTAATCTAATAATAGAGTTAATTTTAATCTAAATCAAGTACATGAAAGGGCTTAAATTATTAAATAAAGATACGAAAATGATTATCTCCTAAGAAAAAAATTGCATAATTTAAAAGATATATCTAACGTTTCTTCTAGTATTTTCTAGTAAAATTTTATCGTTATTAGCTTAGCAGATAGCTAAGTTTAGAGTTACTTTTAAAAGAAATAATATCGACATACCTACATTGCTTTTTTAGAGGTCTATTGGTTTACGTGACAGGCTAGTACAGCTCCTAGTCGACATGTTTTTTTCACTCTTTAATTTTTATAATATCTTAATAAATTCTTAAGCTTTTAATAAATTTCATCGCCAAGAAAATATGAAAATTCGTTCGGCACTTTTTGGAGTTTATCGCGTTCAGACAGGCGTGGCGGGGACTTATTATAATACATATAAATATATATAAAGCGATATCGCCGTGTTAAATAACCATGATAAGGTGGCGAACCTACTGTAAGCTACCGTGTACCTTTGTGTTCCATTTTATTACAGACTAGCTGGTGCCCGCGACTTCGTTCGCGTGGAATTTGAAAACCGCTGGCTTAGTGGGTTCGATTCCCGGACAGGGCAAAACTTTATAGGGGTTTTCTGAGAAAAAAATAGTTCCTCCTTATATAGACAGCCACCTGGTAGTAAAATATTACCAAGATCGGTCAAGCTGTTTTGAAGATTAAACGAAAAAAAAAGACAGACAGACAAAATATATTTAAACTGATTTTTAGGCATACGTATCGTGTGTGAGCATGAACAAAACCTATTATTTTGACATTACAAACAGACACTTCAATTTTATTTATTTGTATAGAACAGAACAAACTAATTTAAAAAAAATACTTCAATAATACAACATGTTTCAAATGTAACAAATTACGGTTGAATACCGACAACTATACCGCGATCAATAGTCATATTGCTGTTCTTATTAAAACTTATGTATTGTAAAACATTAGAAGGTGAAGATTAAAAAATTATATGTTACCTGAGAGTCATTATCAAGATACTCTATAATATTAAACCCATATCAGTGATTGATTAATGCGAAAGAGTTAATAAGATTAAGTTATCTTAATCATAACTTTTTAGTTACCTATTGTTATACCACACAATCCAATGGCACTAAATTTCTTTTTCAGGAGTAAGAACTACTGATAGACTATGATGATAAAAATAATCTAGACGGACAGAAAAAGATAAAAGTATATTTTATTATCGATTGTATAAGATATATTTACTAATGTCATCTATTACAAGATAGGCTTCTTTGATGCACTCTCCCTTATATTGCCAAAAGACAGAAGTTAAAATTTATCAATAATAGAACTACTAATAACTACTAAATAATGTAATTACCATATTCAAATCCTTTTAATTAAGTTTGTGAACTTAAGATATGAAGATTTCAAATTGGATGGATTAATATCAGCGTTAAGCAGTATTTAACCGACCTGGAGTTGCCGCGAGTCCCGAGTCGTCGCGGTCGCACGCTTGGGTACACCTGCTTCATGACTTTTCCAAAATCTGCAGTTGAAAGAGGTTTCATATTGCTGCTCATACAATGTGCTCTGGCAAAACAAAATAATATTATAGAATATAAGATCGACCTAAATTCTTCTGTAATCTGTATCCACTTCTTCCTCCTTCCTCTGAGCCTTTTTTTTTTCACAATTATTGCTTTATGAGCCCAAAATTATTACTTTATGAACTTTGTTTCTTTCTAAGCAGAACACTATTATTGACATATTACAATGGTGGGCGATAATATTGTTGCGATATAGAAGTCATTTTAAGCACTCTTATACTTACTCTCTTGTTTTGACATTACTCTTTCAATTTATATTAATACTTACTAATGCGTTATGGAGAGTAATATTTATACTGACACTTCTGACATGATATGGAATAATTGGTGATATCCTATACTGAAACTATTTATCAAATGAAGAAGTGCATAGTTTTTTTTTCAACAAGAGGGTTTTTATCAAACATTTTGGATTATTTTAATTCTGCCCAATAAATATATTCTATGGTTAAATGGGATCGTTTTATAGCTGGATTAATACAGAAAGTTGGAATGTCTGCATTCAATGATTTCTTTACTAATTTTCCTTTGATAAAATTATTCTAGTACTCTTTCATAAGTATTGGTCATTTCATAGGACATGAAGAATTAGTTGTAAAATATTTTCAAGCCATTAAATAATTTGTAAAAAAGTGAATTTCTGTTAATTATTAATAAAAAGTTTTTTACAGGATACTCACATGTACTCATCATAGACATCCTGTTTAGGTAATGATACATCGGGGTCAACTTCTAAATGTGTCTGTATCCAAGTTACAGTCTGTTGAAGTTCAGCCCTGAAATATTATTTTACATATTAACTCGCCGCTCACCAGTGAAAGCACTTTACAGTGTAGCGGCATATCACCGCATTAGAGGAGTTAAAACATGCTGACTATGTAGACAGTCAATTTGTCATCATTTTTATTTTCTAATTTTCTTGCAGTTAATTAGTACCATTGTCAAAGTTTATCACCTCCTCATATTTAAGTTAGTTGTTGTTGTTTGATATTTATATATTTATAACAGGTACAAGATGCTTACCGTGAGCCCAGTGGATTAATTGGTTGTTTTAAAGGGTCATGTTGTGCAACACCAGTAGGCAGTCGTAGGTACAGAAGTAGTCTTTCAGCACCACTCAGTGCCTCTACAGCCTCTAAAAGCTGAGCCACCCTCTGTCGGCCCTCTTGACTGCGCAACACAAAATTAATTTATTACTATTGTGTACCATTTAATCAAAAGACGTATTGAATTTATTTACCATTCGACAGGCATTTAGGTCTAGTATAGGATATAAATAGAAATTAACACTATAATACCAAAATTCATCATGTAAGAACTTTATATTAAAATTAATATCACATCACATCACACATCCTCAGCCTTTAAAAGTCCACTGCTGGACATAGGCCTCTCCTTAGAAAGGAGGTTTTAATATCTCCAAAGAATTAAGAAGGGATTGTTAACAGTGAACTAGGTAACTAAAAACAAAATCACTATCTGCAATAGCACAAGTGTTGAATAGAAAGTGATTAGTTCATATATGTGTGTACAACACCCTCAACAGCTGTCCTACTGATAACAGTGGCCTACTATCATTGTTGAGCTATATTTGCTGATAAATCATATGTATATGAGAGCGCAGTAGAGTTTTCTAGTCTAGTTTAAGTTTGTTAGCATTACCTGAGGGTGTTCTCGACGATTTGTTGCATAGAAACTATTTTGCTTGAGTCCATGTTGGACGCGCTGCCCTCAGCGGGCTCGGCGCCGCCGGGGGCCGCAGCACTAGATGACCCCGGTGCGTTGCTTGAAACAGCGACACTTTCTTTATTGTAAGACGCAGTTTGCCTATGTTTTGGATGATTGACATTTTCCCGATGAAGTTTCGCGTCATCCACTAGTTCTCTCTCATTTTTAACATTTTTTGCACTATCGTCGGCAGCCCAAGGTTGAAATGGACTTGTACTATCCATTCTAACCCGAGCAGGCTATAAAAATAATGTTATTGAATTTCATATTGAAACTTTTTCTAATCTGAATTATAAAATGCGTAACAAAACTCCATTTTCTTGACATTTGATCAGCTGTGAGGTGAGGAGGAGTAAAGAGGGGGTTTAGGGTTAACAGTATAAAAAAAATATGGAAGTGGTTGGTATCTTATATTCTTTTATATAAAATTAAGTAGGTTGTATTATGCAGATTTTTGAGTACTAACTAGACAACTTTTTCTATTTTAAATAAAAACTTGCATTTGCATGTCACCGAATGTAGAAACGTAAATACTACGAGACCAAAAGGAAGGTTAATATATCCTAACTACCTCAAATATATTCACATCCGGCCGGATGGCGTAGTGGTTTATGTAATGGATTACGGACTGCAAAGATAAAGATCGCTGGTTCGATTTCCACTCAAATCAAACATTTGTGTACATGAATATTTAATGTATGATTTGGTCTGGGTGTTTCCATGTATAATATGTGTGTTTAAAAAAAAATGTACATGTGTATTTATATAACAGTTGTCTAGTACCTACAGTACAAGCTCTGCTTAGTTTGGGATTAGATATCATTGTATGAATGTGGTAGAATATTATTATTAATATATTTTTATTATTAAACACTACGACTATCTAGTCGTAAAACATTTCAATTAATATTGCTACTATAATATTACAAAGCGAAGTTTTGTAGAAAGACTGTTGCTGTCCGGATCACGGAGGGGTCTCAATTTGTTAATAATGGTCACCCATCCATAGACTGACCTGGCCATGATTACTTAACTTTCCAGTGTTAACCTACTCGGTTACCACTTGACAACGGGCGCCAAATAAAATAATAACAATTTCAATCAAAAACATATTCATACTTTTGATTGAAATTGTTTTCATTCATGCTTTTGATTGAATTGAAATTGCACTCAATGCCTGCAATGCCTCACGCATGACGAAGACGGAAAAATCGAATCTAACCCATCCTTGTTGGAATATGTGAAATGAAAATGACGTAATTTTTTTTTTCGTGTACTTGCACAAACTGAAGCCAAACTAAGTTTAGGAGATTACAACTCCAATTAATTTAGTTGAGCGCAACTCGAGTGAGGAAGTCGAATTGGTATCACTAGCACTCGTGTAGAAAGATTGACATTATTTTTTTTATAGAACTGTCAAATTTCAAGTATTTTTTGTGTTTTTTTACTAATACACCAATAGCCCTTTGACACCAATAGAGTCTTTTACTTTTTTGTAGTGTGATTATTGTTAATTTTACACATAATCAATGCTGATTGCCAGTGCCAGTGCGATAAGTAGTATGTAATGATTAATATAATGACTTGCTGTACTGTCTGCAATTTTAATGTTAGCACACTAAATTGCTACCGAACTAAGTTATACGAGAAACGCTTTGGAAGCAATAATCGTTTATGAATATTAAAAACATTACAATACTCAAGACTCTTGATTACAAATACAAACCAACTGCTTACAGACATACAGTAAATTGTTTTGACATACAATTAATGATAGTAAATTAGGATACAGAAATTCGAGATGAAATTGGGTGACATGGTATAATTATAATGTCTGCATTAATTCTTATATGAATGAGCATAACAAAGTACTTGTTAATAATGATTATTTGTACTTGTACTATGTTAATAATGATTATTTGTACTTGTACTATGTTAATGATGATTATTTTTTTACAAAAAAGTATAATTCAGAATTTATTTTCAGCACATCATGTCTGATGAAATTGATATTGAAGAGCATGACCTATTGGATAATCCAACTATTAGGAAGATATTTCCAGATCTGTCGATTATAAAAAAAGAAATATCACAGTATGAAGAAGGTAACTCAAGTTTAACTTAATGAACACTTAACATGATTTTATATGTTTAAGAATTGTCATCATCGTCATCAACAGCCCTAAACAGTCCACTGCTGGACATAGGCCTCTCTTTAGAAAGGTGGTTTTGGCCTACTATAAGTATAGACAACCAGATGGGTTGGTATAGGGTTTGTTTTTTAAGAATATTAATATTAAATTTCTTAGACTAATACTGAATCATATGAACCATGTCAATACTATACTATATACTATACTATTTTATGTATACATTGTATATACTTTATACAGTTATCACTATCTTCATCATTGTCATAATTTTCAATTAATTTATTAAAAAAATAATTGTTTAGAATAACTGGTTTGCCTAAAAACAAATTAATTATGTGATAATTTAGTTTCTTTATTGTTCTTTGAAGTTTCAGGTATTGAAAACCTTTTTCTTGATCCTAATGCCCAACTTCTTGCCTTTCATAATTTATTTAAATGGCCTAGAATGTTATCTACCCAGTGGTAATTAAAGACACGAGTTGATGAAGGTGATAAGTTGCATAATTCTAATTTAGAGTAAATCAAGGTTAAAGTTGTACTTTTATTATTTAAGATGTCGCTACAAAACTAATTTTTGAACTAAACTATGATGTAAAGTTGTGTAAAAACCTCGAAGTAAGAATGTTATAATAGCAATTAAACACTTTGTGTTATTTCAAATAATTTAAAAAGATACTGAACATAACTCCTATAACATAACAAACAAAAGTAAACTTTTCTGTTTTTTTTTTAAAAATTGGGTGCTAAGTAAGAATGTAGATAAAAACTTTTAGGTTATTTTCTTTTAGCTAAACAACATCAATAGACACATAAACTTTTAGCAGAGATCACTTGTGTGCAATGTCTTGCCTAAACATTTTTGATTTAATCTTGGCGTAAAATCGACACATAGAAGTAGTGATACTCTGGTTTTACATATTGAAGTTGGTCTCTGATTTTTCAATGATAAAGTACTATATTTTCTGTTTATACATAGAATGTCTACATCTTAAAATATCTACCTTTTGAAACTGTGTAATTGCACCTATGCTTCTTAATAAAGATGGACCATGCACGAATCCACTTAATACCATCCCTAAAACTGTGTCCGAATGGATTAAGGATCCATATCAGATTTTAAAATTTAAATGATCAAATAATTTGAATTTAAATTCTAATTTTTGTAGTAAGATATATCCAAAGTTACATTAATGTGAAATCAAAAATATACAATACTTTTAATGTGGCTCCTCAATCTATATTTAAAAGTGTGAATTGCCATGAAATAAATAGGTCAAAATTTATATTCCACTCCAAAAACATTTAGTAGCAAGTGTGTTTGTATTTGTAGCCACAGGAGAAAGTAGTAAAACTGAGTGGATTTTGCAAATAAACGCATTTTATTTGGCTCCTCAATCCTGACGTTCTGCATAATAAATAATCGACTTTATCTACCTGAGATCACAATAGAAACAAAAACCAGAGACTTACATTTAGTATAAATGTGTACTAAATAAATATGTACAGATCAACGTTATATATATTCAGTATCTGAAAAATAAATTACTTTTGATATTCCTTATGAGTTCGCTATTTAGGGTAACCATGTCAAAATGTCAAATCACAAGAAAGAATTGACGATTTGTTGAAAATTCTAATACGACGATTTGTTGAAAATTCTAATACACGTCGTATTAGAATTTTCAACAAATCGTCAATCATCGAAATATAGGAATGTAAAGATATTCTTCAGTTATAGGTATATATTAATCAATTTGGATAAAAGTTATACAGTGAATTAATATTAGTTGGTCGATGCTTTTACGAATTTTACATTGACAATCATAGTCGTCGTAACAAAACATCTCATCCTTTGTTGAGTAGTGGCATGTATAGTTGTCCCATGCCAGCGTCGCTAATAGCAGGGAAAATTTCTATAACACCTATTATTATACTACCTACTACCATCTATTTTTGCTGCGTTTTGTATCGATAAGAATAATTAAATATAAAAGTAATAATTCACTACGTCTGCAAAAACTGTTTATCAGTGTTGAGATACTACTCTTGTTTCGTGGTGTATAAATAAATATTATTGAGGGTAGGTAGGTAACCATATTTATTTAAGTAACCTCCAAATAATTAGATAAAATAAAATAGATGTATGTACGAAACGGAACGAAAAATACCTTTTATATAAGTTATTTACGTTTCTCATGGACATAAAAATTGTAAGGAAACTAAAGAATAGCAAATAACTTCGTAGATACTGTACTTTTTTATGACAGAGTTATACGTACATTGCATAAAAAGAACAATGGCGAATTCGTAGTTGAGTATAATTTGAGTCATTCGTAGGAAACTAATTCTAGTAAATATCTTCGTTTTTTGAAACTATCGTCTAACTCAGTAAAACCCCAGGCAAAGAAAGAAATATATTATTATCTTATTTGATTCTTTAATTTCTTTTATAATTTTAAGAAATATACTTATTGGATAATTATCTTATTATGCAGATGTACATAAGTATAAGATGATAACTTGATGTAACAGACACAAAAGTGACATAAAAATATAACCTACGAAAGTTCTACAGCTAGTGGACTATAATAATTCTTTATTATCTGTGTGTTATTTTATTTAAATGGCACACATACAGTTGTTATTATTAATTAGGTAATTATGTAAAACAAAAAAAAAAATTTGAAAAGCCAATAGCCATAGATAATTGGTAAAATAAAGGAAACATTATGCAGCTATGTTATAAAAGACTCCTATCTGTGGAATCTTTTACAAAGAGTCTACAGATAAAAAAATGCAGTGCGTAACTAAACAAATCAAAAATTAAACACACACACATACACATAGGTTCTAAAAAAAAGCTGATTTTTTTATGTTGTTTTTATTGTTCTTTATACAAAATATAGATGTTTTATGTTCCAAATTTCCTCACTCTACCTAAGTATTTTAGAGTCAAATCTATTTACCGAAGCATAATAACTGAGGAGCCAGTTAAAATGTGTCATATCTCCCAATTCACTCATTACAAATTTAACATACTTACTACGAAATTATGAAGAAATTGCGCATCAATTGAAAGACTGCTTCTTTGAAAAGTGATAATCGAATGTATGGTCTGAGGAGCCACATATATAATGATCATCAACTTTTTTAATTTTAACATTACCGAGCTCAGATTTTGTCTACTAACTACTCTCAAATACTACAAAAGCATACTAGATTATGATAAATATACATCCATTATGTTACTAGTTCTGACGTGGCTCCACAATCCAAACATTTAGATTGAGGAGCCACGTTTGTTCACATAACTTTTTATTTTATTTACTACTAAATAATGATATTAATTTTGATTACGATATGAAAAGTGGCTCCTTAATCAAATTGACCGATTGATCAAAGCTAGTTGCAGATGTGACCACCAGACCTTGCACCTACCGACTATTACTTTTTCCAAAATGTAAACAACTTTTTAGTGGGTAAAAAATTCAATTCCCTAGAGGCAGTACAAAATGCCTTTGAAGAGTTTGTTGCCCCGTCCAGCTGATTTTTACAAGAATCAACAAACTGCCAATGCGTTGGCAAAGATGTGTCGATTGCATGGGTGATTACTTCGAATAACAGCAATAAAAAAGTTTGAAAAAATAAGTACTTTCACTTATTGCATACAAAACGGCAATTTCATAGGTAAAGACCTAATATCACCTTTATATACGCAAAAAAATTACAAAACCCGAAAATGCGACATATCACCCTCATCAATGCTTTTGTCGGTCTCTTTTAATATTTGATCATTTATGTTACAGTCAGGTCCAGGTAAACATATTCCATTACATGTTTGAGTTATTGTCTGTTGAAAGTTATGTCTGCCACTACTGAGTTTGTTTTTTCTTCTTCACTTTTGTTTGTAGCTGCTTTTGCTTTTCAAGGATTTGAATGTTCAAGCAGCTTCCATTTTTACAAACCTCTTTCACATAAACTGTGGGCGCTAATTTTTGCCACATGGATATAATGGCTAATACAACAGGCCGATTATTGTTGCTGCTTTTACCAATTCCAAATATTATGTAACTGATTTCATAACTTTCGAGATGTGTCACTGATTCTATTACTATGTCTTTTACGTGGTCTATTAGCTCTTCTTCTGATTGTGTTTATAAATAAGTGTTCAGTCATTTAATTAGCATAACATGGTTAAAATAATAGTCCTTTTCAACAGGATTAGATACTGCTACTGAGAGATCCACTTCAGAAGTCGTCGCTGCTAGTGAGGCAGAGGTAGAATTAACAGAGTATCAACATGGTGACCCTGTAACATGTAGGACAGAAGACTCAAATTCTCAAAAGAACATTCAACAAATAGATAAAGATAGCCAACTAGAAGTGCATCTAAGATTTAAAACATTTCTTGACTCTCTGGCTGATGATGGTTTGGAAAATAGTGATGATAGCCTCAGTAATACTTTTGATGATATCATTCCTTCAAGTCCAAACCAATTAACTGAATTTGTTAACAATCAAAATCAAAAGAACCTGAAGTCATCTAATAATATTTTTATATTAGGATCAAAGCCTAATTTATCACACCCTGAAACTAAAAGAACTGAAAAAAAACAACTGAAAATAGAACTAAAAAATGTGTGGCCCTATTTGAAGGGAAGCAAAAAGTATTGTAAACATTGTTTTATATTGTTCCCAAATATTGAGGCATTGAATTACCATAGGAAAAACATACATAGTTTTAGAAACAGTGATTCTTTAAAGAAAAAAAAGAATCAGAAGAACAAAAAAATTGAATTTATTACAAATAATTCTCGGTGTGATATATGCCAGGTAACATTATGCTCAAAAGGCAATCTTGTTAGACATTTAAAAACAGTTCATAAAGGAGCGGAACTTTATATGACTAAAAAAATAAGATTATCCAAACAAAAAACTAAAAAGGCATTGCAGAAAGAAAAAAATATGAAGTTAGACGAAAATAATTATTGTTTTCATTGCCACGAAGAATTTGAATCTCAGAGTTCTCTAATTGAACATCTTTATGATGTTTTAAAGACAAACAAAGAAGAAGTAGCTTCAAGGAATTCCAAAGAAAGTCTAAATGCAGAAAAAACACGAACTGCGCAACGCAAAAGTGAAGATAGGATAAATAAAAAAGGAGATAATAAATTGAATAGTAATTCTACTTCAGGTAAATCCATTGACTATGATTCAAGAAAAGCCTATTCTGCATGTAAAGTATTACTTGAATCAGAGGTTACAGAAAACGTACAAAAAAAGCTTAATGAACTAACAGACAATAATAAACGTTTTACTAGAAAACAAATGGACACTAGTGCTAAGAAGAATAGTGAAGCAGAATCAATTGGTTCTAATTTACTTTATCATGAGAATGATGATTTTCCTGACTGTGTTTCAAATGGCAGTGATAACCAGGATAAAGTTGAGAATTCTATAAACATCAGTATTGAAAAGATACAAGCATACCAATGTTATATATGCTCTCAATATATGAAATATTGGCAACGGTATATTAACCACATGGGTGGTCATAATATAAAGAATTTGATTGCTGCAGATACAGTTATATTTGACTCCCAATGTCAGTTCTGCGATCTGAAAATGTCCTATGACATAAACCGGTACAATAGTCACGTATCGAATTTTCATCGTGAAAGAATATATAAGAAGATAAATACAGATGAAAAAGCATTTCATTCTGTTCTGTTTAAATGTTTAAAATGTGAAGTATGTTTTTTGACTGCCAAAACATCAAGGAAACATTCTGAACATGTGGCAATATTCGTTAATTGGAAATGCCCAGATTGTCATAACTTATTTAAAATTAATGATAGGGCAGTGCATTTAAAACAACATTTATTATCCAAAAATATTACTGCTTATACTTTATGTGACTCTGCACTGGACCGAGTTTTATATAAGTGTTTGAGATGCGCAGTACATTTTAGTGAAAAAGAATACTTTAGTCATTACGCAACATGTGATTTAAAAACGCCTAATTCAGCTTATTGTAAGACATGTGATATTTTAGTTAACAGAAATGATTTGGCTTTACATGAACTAAAACATAAAGATAAAAAACTGCAATTAAATGATTTTACTCTTATAGAGTCTGATATTATAAATAACACTAGAGCACAGAATAGGGAGGTAAAACATATCCTTCTTACAAAATCAAAATTCTCTCTCACTTTTTGCTCCACATGTAATTGCTTCTTAGGCAACCTAGGAAGAAAGAGTAAGGCACACATCGAAGGACGATGCGGAATTATAAATCCCAGGATGTGCAGAAAATGTGGACTTATATTCACATCTAGAGGATATTTATCACATAAGATGCTGCATGATAAAGTTAAGAATTTAAATTTGCAATCTTTCTATTTTTATGACATCAAAACTGAAAAACAAATTCGGCCGCCTATACCGAAATATCCTAATTGTGATATTTGTGAAGTACACTTCCTGGGTAAAAAATACATTAAGGAACATTTGTGTACTAAACAGAGCTCTGTAACGTGTAGCTTCTGTAAGATTCAGCTTACTGAAGCGGCGTTAAAGTTGCATTTACATTTTCACAATTATAAGTTGTCATTCACTAGACTGAGTAATAAAAAAAAGGTAAATTATAATACGGAAAACACGATAACCAGTACTACGGACAAATATAACGGTTCCAAGAGTATAGTATCGACGAAAACAGCAAAGAAATATAACATATTAAGATCTACTTTGAAAGAAATGAAAAGTTCTAGTTCGGAAGTGGACGAAACTGTAACCAGTACTAATAACATTGATAATTCATCAGCACGAAATGTAATTTCAAATGTTCCCGAAAACACTAATATAAACGACTCATCCTTATTATATACATGTATCCTTTGTCAGACTACAGTCGATATGTACGATAAAGCGATCGAGCATTGCCATGAACACTATGATTATAAAAAAAGTCTATTAATACACGAAAATGGCTCCTCTGATGACAATTTTTATGAGAATATTGCAACACAAATAAAATTTGATCCATTTTATATTCGTTTCGATAAAGATATTTGGATACAACATATTTTTGAAAAATTAACAACCCAACAAGTAGCATACATACTTGACCATTCCAAATATAAATTCGAATGCAGACTTAAAATGGAAGAGGTTCAACACGGTTCACATGCTATCGTAAACGATTCAACATTGTATAAATGTGAAATATGTCGGTCTTATGTGGAACCTAAGGAATTGTACGCACATGTTAGCACCAAATGTACCGTTACACGAAAACACCCTTGTTCTCATTGCGGCTTACGTTTTGCCTCTGAATGTTATAAAAACATCCATGAAAACATTCACGAAAGCCAATATCCCATCAAAAACAAAGCATCATATAAAATAATTAAATTCAATAAACAAGCACACCACCAATTCGTTGAGATAATGCTTGCTTCGCGTAATAAATTTATTTTGTATCAATGTAGAAATTGTGAAGTCGTTATTGATAAATTACATCGTGAAGTTCATCAATGCAGTAGTGTTGAATTAATTAAATGTTCCTATTGTGGTTTACTATTTTATGATAAAGATTTGAACGCACATGTGATTAAGCATGAACTGATTAAACAGTTCCAAACTGAAAAAATGATTGTTATTATGTTCGGTAAGTTGGGCTGCAAAAGAGACAACAAAGTAAAGCCTCTTTTCAAGGGAACCATTTATGATTTTACTTTTTATAAGTGTACAATGTGTGGATTGTGCTTTAAAACAAAAAACAGTATACATAAACATGTTTGTGTATCCAACTCATATGAATCTCAGTGCCCTAAATGTTGTTTGAGTTTTTTCAAGAAAGATATTGAAGAACATTTACAACTACATGAGAATCTTTTAGAACTAGCTGCCGGTGATTTTAATTCTAATATTATAAGTTTTACTAAAAATACAGTAGTACAGGATACCTCTTTAAACGAAATACAAGAAGAAATAGACAAAAAAAGTAATATAAATAATTTAATGGACGATAATATGACACAAAAAATATACAAATGTGGGTGTGGCTTGCATTTTTTAGAAGAATTAAATGCAAAGAAACATTTGCTAAATTGTAATCCTAGGATGAAAATATCAAAACAAAATTGCTTTAAATGTGATTTGTTATTTACACCTGGGGAACTATTCAACCATCTATTGAAACATCATAGCAATAAAAAGTTGCAGTATCGGTATAATATAATAAGCGTGTTAGAAACCGGTGAATACGAAACTGCGGACAGTCAAAAAACCCCGCGCCTATTACAATAAAGTGAAAATGCACGCGATCAATTAGTTCTTTAGTAAATACTTAGGTTTAGAAACTATTTACTTTAAAAGCCGGAGGACGAAAAGTCTGTAAAAAAATTAATACATTTGTGTATTAAAGTCGCAATATAATAAAGAAACATCTACAGTAGACAAGTCAGATGATTTGCAGTGATCGCATTTTTTACTTAGAGGTGTTAGTTCTTTGACATCAAATAAAAATTTGTATGGTATGGAAAAGCGCGACTGGAACACAAATTATTTTTATTGATTGTACGTGTTTATAATAATATTATTATTTACTAGTAAAGCAAATTTTAATAAATAAATTTCGGTACAAAATTCAATTATGTAGATGTTGTATGTACTGCATTATTAAGTTTAATAGTTCTTATATCTAATAGGTTTGAACAAGTATTGAATAAGTTTGTTAAAGTTGTTAATCGTTAAGTGTTTTAGGTTGTTTATAATATGTATCTATTTAATTAAGTTAATTAACTGTCTGATTAGCATAGTACAGTCTGTATACCTTTGGGAACCGACGACCATTCTTATTTTTAATGAACTTGTTTTTATTGTCGCACATCGATTGGTTTGTATTGATGGATATTGTGCTATTAGAGCAGCGAAAACTTGTGAAATATAATATATTTTTTGCCTATGTTTATTTTTAATTATTATTATGTATATGTATCCAAACTTATATTATAAATGTGAAAGTGATTTTGTTTTTAAACTTTAACGCCTAAACCACTAAACCGATTTTAAAATGTAGGTATTCCACCATTGGAGAGCTACATAATCAGCGAGTAACCTAAGCTACTTTTTACCGCGCCAACTGACATACACGCGGGCGAAGCCGCACACAAAAGCTGGTAGAACTTGCTTTTTTTTTGCAAAATAAATTTGAAAGCCGATTTTTGTTTCAGTTTACAATATCTCGAAAACAAAAGCCTTTAACGAAAAAAGTTTCCAGCAAAAGTTGTTCAGCGGATGATTTTACGTAGGGATTACTGTTTTTAATAAGTCGAAAAATTGTATATTTAAGCGTAAACACACGCCAAATTTTAATAAGACAAAAACATAAAACTATTATTATTACTAACTACTTGTTAACAAAATGCGCCCAGTCTAGTTGCTCAAGAACAAAATGGCGACCTATTGCAAAATGGCTAAGTTGAAATTTGGAAAGATTATAACTATAGATATAACCTAGTGTGCGTTACCCCAGCAAAATAATGTCGAAAATGGTCATTTAAACGTTATATATAATTAGTTGCTCCCCTTCTGTAATTGTTAAGCAACTTTTTAAATTTGTTTCACTTAAACTTTTTTAGTTATTTCAAAAAAACATTTCCTGCTGGGGTAACGTTTGAAACGTTACTGCAGCCAGACATTTTCTTTTTTAATTGTAATATTGAAATAAATTTTAGCTAAATAATTAGTTATCTGGACTAGGTAAATGTTACAACTTATTTGGTATTTGTATTTTCTTCGGCTGCGAAGTTATTCGAAATCCTGCTGGAGTAACGTTTGTGGGTTTGCTGGATCTCTGAAACGGGTAAGCGGATTGTAACCATCTTTTGTACATAACTTCTTAAGGATTAGTTTTAATTTGTTCGACAATAAAATAACAAAAATAATGGACCGTTTGAAAATTATTTAGGTAAGTATGAAAACACTTCAATACGTCCTAACACTTTAAATAAGACCTCTAAAGACTTACTTGAAACGTTATTCTATTGCTTGTAACTACCTTCAAATGTATACGAATTTTCGTAGGAATACTGTAAGTGACTAAAAAGTTATGATGAAATGTAGCTCTCCACGTTCACGATCACAATGTGTGCGGCCTTTTTTGGCCACCGATAAACCTGTGTGTGGATATATAAACTGAATGTTATGCCAATAATTAGTTGTTTAGTTCAGTTGTCTACCTGTAGAATTTCAGCGTCGTACATATAATAATTTACGAGATAATTAAATAAAAGTCATTAGAAGGTGCAAGTCCGTGGTAATCCGACCATGTTTAGGTGGTTACAAAAAAGCGATCACCCAGTACATTGCGCTGTCTTTTAAAATGTTTAGTGTAATACACCTTACGATTTCGGTACAGTTGCGTACAGTGTTAAATACATTCAATATTTATTCATTATTATTACCTCTTATTTATTTTGTTTTTTTTCCCTAATTGATCTTAAGCACTAGTTTCTTTACTTAAAATTTATTTAGTCTTTTTTACTACCGGAGCTACAATCAACAGAAAATCTGCACTGGTCTGCTAAAATTATAAATATGTAGATACATGTATGAACGATTCACCTGACTGCAATAAAACGAAAATTTAAACCAAAAAGAAATCGTTTCATTTCTTTGATTTTTTTTGTAAAGAAATAACACTAAAGTAATTGTATTTTATTTTGGGGTGTATAGAGCTTAGACTTGAATGCATCAAAATATTTAAAGCAACAAGTCATCTACAATAAGTTAAAATAGACCGAATAGTAGAAGAATACAGTTGTAAATTAGAATGCATCAACATTGCATCGCCCAACAGTCGTATACCTCGTAAGAGTAGGTAATATTGTTCTGTGGTCTATACCTAGAACCGAAAATTATCTATACCTATGTACCTACCGTTAAGCGTTGAGCCCGTTACTGTTGATTTCTGTTAAAAACGAACAGTTGTTGAATGATATTTTGATATAATAACGGTAATTTAATTTATCGAGTGAAAGTGATACATTTTTATAGATAAAATTATTGGTCAGATAATATTTGTCAATCAAGAATCGCTGATAATACATCCTTCGCTAGAACGCGGGAGGGGAGGGGCGAAGGGATACTTCATTGTTTGCAATTTGCATCTAGTGCACTAAACTTGACCCTTAGGCAGATAATATACGTGTTGTACGTGTGCGCTTCCGCTTTCTATTTTTGCAAATATTTATCGTATTCTTGAGAGTTCTTCAATATGTGTGTACCTAATTACTAATAATAGGCATTAATGCTAATTCGATTCAATTTAAGTAATTGTCAATTCTTGTCATAGGATATTAATTACTAATGCTAATATTGAAATTTCGTTCAGGGTGAACAAATTAAAAACGATCATAACTTTTAGGTAGGTATATCACTTATTACTAATTTTTACATAAATAATTTATTTTATTATAATTTAACTCACCGCGATTTTGTGATCAAATATATTATTTTCTCCAACATTATTACAGAAATAATGCAATACAGAGTTTGTTCGCGATATGCTAGCCTAAGTCGATTCATCACTTAAAAAAATCCCCATCTATTCACAAAATACCTATTTACAACGCATACGTTACACTCTTCAAAACTTATCATTTCATTTCATATTTCTTAAATTACCTATACCTACCCTAAAATTAAACTTCAATTAACAAATACTACGCAGGTACCAATTCTATGAACAACTATAAACAATTCACCTAAACATTACGAGAAAACAAAAGCATTCAAAACAATACCTAATCTCCCGGCTGATTACTAATTATGCAATAAACAATCCTAAATAAAAAATATTTAAAAAACATGTAGTTTTTTGTAGTGATGTGCCGGATATCCGTATCCGTATCCGTATCCGCGGATATCCAAGGGAGAAGAGAGATCCGTAACCGTATCCGTATCCGTGACTTTTTTGGCGGATCTTTCAATACATATTACATAGATGAAATTCTATATAGGTGATTTTGTATTCACTGTAAAACTCTTAGGTATGTGTTTGTAACACTATAAACAGCAACTTTTTTTCTGGCCAACGTCAAAATAAAAAAAAATTGGTCCTCCATTCAAATGACCAATCAAATGTTGTTAGTTTGTATGGAGAAACATTTTTTTTTCTTTCGTTTTCGGTGTTAGTCCAGAAGAAAAGTTGTTGTTTATAATGTTACTAATACGCACTTCAGAGGTTTTCAGTAAATTTAAAATAACCCTGAATAATGGTTATTAGGTAGCTATGAAAAACTATTGAATTCTGTTCAGATTACTTTTTATTTCTTAAAACAAATATTTGGCACCTTTGTATTGCAATCATTTATCGTACTACACTAAATCAACTAGGCAGGTCGTAGGTACTGAAAGAGTTATCTTTATAATGAGATCAATCAAACATCTTTGTATTAGCTTATTAAAATAATGAAATATTTAAATATCAACGGCAAAGCGTCAAGTGGCGACAACTATCAAGGTCACGGGCTCCGATTGAGTAAGAAACTTAAAATCCGTATCCGTATCCGTATCCGCGGATCTTGACACCAAATATCCGTATTCGGATCCGTATCCGCGGATATACTTTGTTAACGATCCGGCACATCACTAGTTTTTTGTAACACTTATGTACATATCCGTAGTAAACTTGCAAATAATATCCTACATATTTTAAAAGCCAGCACAATGTACTGGGTGATCGCTTTTTTGTAACCACCTAAACATGGTCGGGTTACCACGGTCTTGCACCTTCTAATGGCTTTTATTTAATTATCTCGTAAATGATTATATGTACTACGCTGAAATTTTACAGGTAGACAACTGAACTAAACAACTAATTATTGGCATAACATTCAGTTTATATATCCACACACAGGTTTATCGGTGGCCAAAAAAGGCCGCACACATTGTGATCGTGAACGTGGAGAGCTACATTTCATCATAACTTTTTAGTCACTTACAGTATTCTTACGAAAATTCGTATACATTTGAAGGTAGCTACAAGCAATAGAATAACGTTTCAAGTAAGTCTTTAGAGGTCTTATTTTAAGTGTTAGGACGTATTGAAGTGTTTTCATACTTACCTAAATAATTTTCAAACGGTCCATTATTTTTGTTATTTTATTGTCGAACAAATTAAAACTAATCCTTAAGAAGTTATGTACAAAAGATGGTTACAATCCGCTTACCCGTTTCAGAGATCCAGCAAACCCACAAACGTTACTCCAGCAGGATTTCGAATAACTTCGCAACCGAAGAAAATACAAATACCAAATAAGTTGTAACATTTACCTAGTCCAGATAACTAATTATTTAGCTAAAATTTATTTCAATATTACAATTAAAAAAGAAAATGTCTGGCTGCGGTAACGTTTCAAACGTTACTCCAGCAGGAAATGTTTTTTTGAAATAACTAAAAAAGTTTAAGTGAAACAAATTTAAAAAGTTGCTTAACAATTACAGAAGGGGAGCAACTAATTATCTATAACGTTTAAATGACCATTTTCGACATTATTTTGCTGGGGTAACGCACACTATAACCTAGAGAGAATAAGAGCCCCAATCGAATCCCGAGAAAGATGGATAATAGATAGTCCTCTCTATCTCTTTGTAGTCGAGCTCTGTGCTTGGCCTCTCATATTCCCCATATGAGAGGTTAATAAGTAGCCAATGGCATGTCCTGTCATACCGTTTAATTCTACGGTTTTTCTTCAACGTATCAGTTCCTATTTGTCTCTCTTCATCTTCAGCCAGAACTGCTATTAATACTAAATAAGTGACTGACTGACATCGCAGCCCGCGTACTGCGAAGCCAGAAAATAAAAACTGATATGTTGAAACAACTCAGAAGCACGCTGCGGCGTCCGCGGCGTCCTGCAGTGCACATAGAATTACCGCGGTATAATTGTATCAAAATAAAGTAATCCTAACACATTGAAATAAGGATAAAAAGAACTTGAGCAGAAATAAAATCCTTAACCATGCCATACTGTATCGCGACGTCAGTCAGCGCCAGCCCTATGGAATGGCTGGGCATTTTTCCGGATGCCATAACATGACGTGGTATGCTTTGGCATGTTGCTTCATACTAAAGCATCTTTCGGGATGCCGAAGGACATCCTGCCTTGCCGTACCTTTCCGCGAAGTCAGCGCCAGCTTAAAACCGAACGCCCGTCCCGGGCAGGGCCAGGGAACCAAATGTAGGTAATCTAGAAAGAAAGCCCTGATACCCCGACGGACCCAGGCCTGCGCTTTTGAAAGACTGAGATCATTTAGTGACCTCCGGTGCTTGTGTCACCAGCGGTACCTGGTCCGTTCCCGAGCCTGGCGGACCGGAAGATTTCTAAGCCTCTCCCGATCCCACTGCAATCTTATTCGCGAGCATAATTTGCTCACGAATAACACTTCACTAACGCTTTTCGCGTTAGCAAAGTGCTACGCACTAGTCATCGATTAGTCATAAGGTCATGTCTCGGCACCACACAAGCCGGGCATTCTGCCAGCGTGTGAAGCGTCGTGTTCATGTTTTCAGGCAGCGTAGTGGTGGCACCCAGGCATTTGCTCTTTGCGAATCAGCCACAGATGATCTCTAAAGTATCCTTTCGTGATGTCAGAGGGTCCCGTATTTCCTCTCGAGCCAATCCTAAATAACGAGTCTTACCCCTGCAATAACAGCGTGCCAGGATTAAGCGCCCCATAATTTCCTGACAGTCAAATTATCGCCTGGTATGGGCAATTTGGGAATCCCGCTGTGCGTCCTAGTGTTTTTATGGCTCGCGCGTATTACAATGTTCTTCCTATAACACTTTACATGTTCAAAATAATTTATACGTACTACTCCAATATATGTATATACTCGTATATTGTAAATTAATGCATGCGGCTCGCCATGACGCCATCCTATAGAGTATTTAGGTACTTTGAATTTTTTGTCACGATCCGCCGCCTCTAATATTTGGCCGCCCTAGGCCTGGGCCTACTGGGCCTTAGGGGAAATCCGCCACTGCGTGTCACTAAATATTTCCTTTCTTTTATCAATTACAGCTCTATCTTCTTCAATACAGAACACTGGTAAAACAATAGTTGTCTTCATAAAAATACTGAAGGCGGCTTTGCTCGCGTGATTTTTTCTTATTTCGTGTTAACTTTTAAAATTACGAACTCCATACAAACGCCCTATCCTTATTTTACTCCCGTAATGTTTTAAATTTGTTTTCATTTAAAAAAGGGTGAGTCAGGGTGGAGGGTGGTGGTGAAATTAAGGATTTAGAAACGGTTGGACAAGGTATATTGACATAATAGAAAGTAGCATCAATGGGTGAAAGAGACAAAATTAAAGTAGAGACAAGCCGAATGGTAATAATTTTATATCTTTACATAAAGTCCAAAGAATGACATAAACTACAAAGCCTTAGTAATAGCCTTAGCCTTAGCTTAGCCTTAATAAATTACAAAGCCCTTTTCCCAAATTTATTTGGGGTCAGTGCAATGCGTTTTCTCCTTCCTTTCCCCTCTATCACCCGTCAGTTCAATGCTAACTCTTTTACGCAGTTCATTCATCTTTTCTATGGTCGTCCTCTACTCTTACAAGCGTCAACTTCCATGCATCAAACTTTCATAACTACATTTCGCTCATCTCTACGCGTCACATGTCTATACCTGGAAAATATGTTGCTTCTTAACTTTTCGTCCACTGGTGCTACTTTCAGGCTTCCTTAAATGAAGTCATTGCCTTGTCCATCAATTCGCATTTCAGTTCTTACCCGATTTCTTCGTTGGCTAACACTCAGATCACTGGAGGATGATTATTTTGTATATTTGTCCTTATAATTGAATAAGAATTTTGGGATTGCAAATAGTTTCTGTTACCTACTGCCACCACAACTAAATCATAAAAAAAAAAACTTATTTAGCTGAGCAGAATCCCGAAAGGAAAGCACGCACTACCTATATACCAATCGTTTTCTTAGTATGAGAAAAATAATGAATATTTATTATTTTTGTTTGTTGTGCGTAAATAAAGCTCCTTTCCTACTCGGAAAATATTCTTCGGGACGGTTGCGAAATGGACCCACAATTACGCGCAGAAGTTTCACCCTTACCGAGTTGGGAGTAACGTACCGTTCAATCTTACTTGAAAATAAAATACCTAGATGTATTAAATAAATATGTCTACGCGTTCCTGAACAAGCGGTGCGCGCGGACAGCAGGAGCCTCGTCCGAGGAGTCGAATGTTAAGAAACGTGGAAACCGGTGATAACGATTGTGTCGGGCGCCGTATCACGTTGTTATCTACAATTTGAAAATCATTACAGTCCACTCGAATTTTATTTAGAGTCTATGTGATCTAACAAATACCTACCGCTATTTATGTAAAAGACGTATTCTCCTTTAATCACTATACCTATTCTGTGGTATTCTTTCAGTCTTTGATCCATCGTAGAGTCCTAGAGTAATATTACTCTACGATAATGAGAAATATAAGCATAGAGATAACACGGGTTTTTTTTGTAATAAGAGAGATCCGGGAACTGCTATTATTAAGACATCCGGACCCCACCTAGTGCCCGCCCGCAATTTCACGGCCACCATCCTCGGTTACATTCTCCATTTAGGCCGTTATGGCGGGTGAAGGGAAAAACCCGTCCCGTCAGCTCTGGAACCATTATGATGGAACACGGGGTGCCTGCAGCAGCCCCTGCGGCCGCCATCGAAAGAAAAACATGGAAAGATCATAGAGAGAGAAGCATAGAGTTTATATATATTATATATATACAATTAGAGCCGAGACGAATGAGTCCGGATAATCGGACGTTCGGATAATCGATTGTCGAATAATCGGGATTCTACTATGCTTAATTTTCAAATGTTGCACTTTTTGGTTTAATACATAATTTATTTGTTTTATTCAAAATATTTTGTGCTTAAACATTTTAATGTCTGCTATTTTTTTCATTATTTTTGTTTCATAGCATTTTCAATGCTTGATGAATAGGATGATGTTCGAAAGCGTTAAGGTTGGCAATGACAACTCTGTTCCAACTTCCCCCTTCAGGCAACATTCATTTGACGTTTTTAATTACATAGTAGAAATATGATCGAATTGTCTGTCGGAATAGTGAAATTTATAATTAATATGAACTGTACAGCTAGTGTATTTGTCTCTTAATGAATCAAATTGTTATTTTAAAAATGCTATTACATTTATTACCAAATATTTTAGTTCAAAATCTAATAACTGATCTCAGGACATGAAGAATGTTAGAAAAATTTAAATAAATTCTACATAATTAAACTGTTTAAAATGTATTATCACGAACGTTTTTGTCAATGGTTAGGGCATTTAAAACTGTCCCGTGTAATATTATTAGTTTTAGTTATATTATTTGTGGTGCCTCTGTTTACACATTACTACTTGTCTAAGGTAAAGTAAATAAATTAAGCATTTAACCTTAAAGTTAGAGAAATTAATTAGAAACTTTGTCATAATTTATGAAGTTCAGTGCTTTCACTGGTAAAAGCAATGTACAGTGTAGCGGCACATGAGGAGTTAATATTAGCAGTTTGAGCTTTCATTGTCCTTGCTTGTACAATCATTTTTCCTTATTTACAGATGTTATTTATAATACATATATTGACTTCGATAATAAATAACATCGTTTTATTGTGTTCACTTAAAAGAATTACTTAAGGTAAAAGTTGATGAATTGTTTATTTCTTTTATTTCATAGGAAAGATATTTTTAATCAAAACTTGTTAGTCATTTATATACCCATTTTAAAATCTTCTGTAAATTTATATGTGAAAATAATTCCTTGTACCCTTTTGAACTCAACACATATTGGTACACCTAGATCAGGACAAATCAATTGATATTTTAATGTAGAACGGTTTTAATATGCTGTGAGTTTGAGTACCTGCATGAGAATATTCCAATAAGACGAGGGCAAGTTGTCGGCCGAATAATTAAGCTTTCAACCAACATCATGTTGTGTGTATTGGTTTTGGGTTAAATATGTAATGTAGTAAGACAGTCAATTTAGCATATATTTTAGAATGAGCTGAGTGATAGTGACTTAAAAATTATAATGCTAATGAAAGAAGCTGCTAAAGTGACACAAAGTATGATACTCAATTAGAACTGAATAAGAAACTTGAAGTATGTATACTAAAAACTAAACTTAAAATGTTTGGAACCAAACATCTCTTGCTTATAAAAGAAGTATACCTATTCATTATAACAAAATCTTAAGATGTATAAAATTTATTTTCTTAGTCAAACATGTTTCAAATGTATATTATCAAGTCAAACTAACTTGTTGTGAAAAAGTTTAAGGTATTGTTGCTCTAACTTTCAATTATTATTTAGAAGCTATTGCCTGCTGTTCCACCTGATTGTAAGTTGGCTAACGCGTTAAAAAAGGAGCTTATTTTCCATTGATGGGCAAATTTTTAAAATTGGTTTAGTGGTCAAATTTACTTTCGCATTTATAATATAAGTATGGACATATTTAAGTATGGATTTTATTTTATTAATGTAATAATAAAATAACTAAATATTTCAAGTTCAGTATCCCTTAAATAGTGGTCTGGTCCCAAACCAGGGACTAACCAGACTGCTTATAAACATACCTATTTATCATTACATCCAGACACAAAGCTAATAATTACAGTCATCATAGTACAAAACAAGTAGTTAGTTGGGAATTGAACCCACATCCTCTGGCTCAACAGTCAGGATCACTAACTATTGAACCAATATATCTGCTGAAAATATTGTGCACTTGTGGGTCGATCAATGAAACTTATAAGATTAGTTTTTCAGACACTATTATTAATTGATCTATGAAGTTGTTTGTACCAAGTTACCTCTTCATAAATGGCGTGTTACATGACACATAAAGTAAAGTAGAAAATTATTTGAATGTTCCAGTATGATGAATCAGGTGCACTGGCAAGTAATCCCATGCGACATACTCTAGAGGTGCTTGGTGACATGTCAACCATGAATGCTGCTGACCTGAAGCTAAGGATTGAAGAAATGCTCAGAATTAAGGTATATTTATTTCTCCCTTCCTAAGTAAAAACTATGCATATATTGCCTTGGGAAGGCCACGTTGAGCCGGCTGGACTGGAGTGATGCCACAGCCTCACAGAAAACCAGTCTTAAGCAATTCTTATGAAAACTTGACACAAACCCTATACCAACCCGTCTGACCAGCGTAGTATAGTAGGCCTATGTCCAGCAGTGAACTAGTAAAGGCTGTTGATGATGAGTGAGATCACTGGAGACTAAAACTGCCTCCTCGCCTTGTTCTAGGCAAGGTAGCCTAGGTTCTAAATCACAACTTAGATTTGGTCATAGTCAAAGATAAATAGCATAAAAATTAGTCAAACTGACCTTTTTTTTATAGATTTAAACCTTTCGCAAGTCTGGCGCTAGCGTAATAATAAGTCACAGTGATGATATAGATCAGTTGCAGGACTGATGAACAACACGGGTGATGGTGATTTTAACCCATGCCTACTTACCATCGACTGACCCGTCTTCTAATTTGCTTCCAATATCATAATAAAAAATGTGTGTAGGATATTCCTTGTGCCTTTAGCAAGTGTCTCATTTACTTTAACGTTTAATATTAGAATGGTACTTAACTAATCCCTTAATACTTTTAGTATTTTGATATAAGGATCCTTACATTTCTTCAAGTACTATATCAGTAGACAGTTAATAGTAAAAATTTAAATAGTGATTAGTTAATTATTATTTTTATTATCATGTTCAGTAAAATACTGAACATGATAATAAAAATAATAATTAAAGTACATTATTTTGTCCGTGTGATGACGGGTTAAGAACACGGAGTGTCACCACCCCTATTTATCTCGTGGATGTCGTAAGAGCTGACTAAGGGAGCAAAACTACGCAGAACAACAGCACTGCAAAACAAGGATAAACTTGAAACAAACCCTATTCCAACCCGTCTTCCCAGCGTGGTATAGGCCTACTGGCCAAAACCTACTTTCTAAAGAGAGGCCTATGTCCAGCAGTGGACTATTAAAAACGCTAGATTTAAGGTTGTTTTTGTTTACAAATTTTATGTTATTTCTTTTTGTTGGTCTGAGTTTTCTAATTGTAAAATTAAGATATAAGCAATTTGGTGTATGCTTTAATGTTTTTATTTAATGAATAAATAATTATTATATATATATATATATTTTAATACTTTTTTTAATATATATATTATATAATTATTATTTTTTATGTTTCATGACACAAAGAACACTCAGACTCAGAACAACAATTTGTGGATCACACAATTTGTTGTCCCATGTGGGGATCGAATCCACAATACTAAAAAAAGTAGGAAGCGGCGAGGTATCCGCTTAAACCACTACGCCATCCGTGCAGTCGAAATTGAAATCATTATGCACTAGAGGTGCTCACATAAGAGCAAATCTAATGCAAGCATTTAAAAAATTCCAACATGTTTAAAAAATCTATTAAAGCTGTATTCTGTTTCAGGCTTCAGTATCTACTGAACTACGTGAATTGGAAGCCAAACGCGGAAGGCTCCAACGTGAAGCTGCAGCTGCTAGTGCAAAAGCTGATAGCGCCAAAGCCGAGCACGCGCGTGCGGCCGCCGAATTACAGCGCTTGCGTGTGTCGGCTGACCAGGCGCGCCTTGCTCAGCTTGAGGCAATACGTCGAGATTCGCCAGAACTTGCCCCTCCAACGCAAATAGTTCCTTCTCGTCCACCTCCTATCCTACCTCCAATGAGTCCAGACACGGAAGTACATTGTCGTATGTTTTCCTGTTTCGATCATTCTCGTTGTTCGTTAACATCAGGATTTCCTGTCTACCTTTACGATCCTGACGTCTTTGCACCGTTGACAGGCGCCGAAGTTGATGGTTTTCTTAAAACTACTTTACGACAAACATTAGGATACAACACGCACATAACGAATAATCCAAATGAGGCGTGCGTCTTTCTAGTCATTATGGGCGAGGCATTTCCTTTTCACAAAACATCCTCGTAAGTTCATCCTTTTACTAGGTTGTTTGTTACTCAGTACAGTTTTTTAATTTGTTTTATTTACCCTAATTTGAAATGGTGTTGCAGGAATACTGGAGATACTTACAAACTATTATTGAATGAGACGGCAGTCAAAAACTTGCCTTATTGGGGCGGGGATGGCCGTAACCACATTCTGTTAAATATGGCTAGACGTGATTTATCAGTAGGTTCCGGCGACGCTTTCAGAGGAGCGTCGACAGGACGAGCTATGATCGCTCAGTCTACATTTACGCATGAACAGTTTCGACCAGGATTTGATATAGTAACACCGCCTGCGCTCGGTCCTCCTGGAGGTGATGTGTGGTCCGATTGCGCACCAATAGCGCCCGCTCGAAGGAAATATTTACTGAGGTAAATAAAGTTTATATAGTATGTGATGTTATTAATTTTTTTTCTTATTCCGATTATGTAACATTGTGTACATAATTGAGTCCATTTGTCAATTTCTAGGTACGAATTCATGAGCTACATTTAGCTTTCAGGGTTCTCAACCACCGCCGAAAGGAGTAGACAAGGATCACGATAAATCCTTGATAGAGGCGTTGCAAAAAATGGTCAGCATCGCGCCCTCTACGGACTTGTTTTTACTGCAGTTTGAGTGCGATCCTCCTGTTGAGAAACGAGCCATACTTCCAATTGGCGACTGGGCTCTTTGTGGAACCGATCGATCTCGCCGTGCAGTATTGAGAGATTCGACTTTCGCTCTTGTGCTAGCACCAGCGGATCGTACTTATGCTTCAACTGCCCTGCTCCAGGCCAGAATGTACGAAGCACTCAGATCTGGAGCAATCCCAGTGTTGCTGGGTGGTGACAGCATTCGGCTACCCTATGATGAGGTAATATTTTGTGCTAGTGGACTTAATAGTGATAAATAGTAAAATAAAAATATAATAAAAGTGGAGTTCTAATCATCCAGCTCAGGCCAAATATATCCCAAGTAACAGAAGTTTTACAGGGTCGTACAAAGATGGCAATAACGCCGGCAATAAATTCGACGAGTCAAGTTCTTAAAAATGCAATAGAACTCTGTAGTTATTATCTAATCTTTAACTGAAAAAACCAAAACAAATGGTCTACCAGAAAGTGACAAATAAGTCAAGTCAATCACTATTCTTACATTTAATGTAGGTGTAGATACACCCAAATTAACAAGAAAGATATTTTAGTCATATGTTATCCAAAACTTAGGCCAGATTGTTACATGATTTATATTGATGATTATGAGCATCTTTCGCAAAATAGTCGTAACTTAATATATTTGAATCATTAACAACTTACATAACAATATAGTAGTCCATGAAAACAATCTACAATATAAGCTTACTAAATCAGATCAAAACATTTTATTATCTACACAACATTCACATTTTCTGGATATTAATCATAATAAAAATATTATTAATTGATGTCAAGAATTATCATGGCATGCGATTGCAAGATTACTTTCAATATGAGCTAGTAAATGTAATTTATCTACAGTGTAATATTTCTTTTCCGATATAAAGGCTTTATTTAAATATGATTGATCCAATTATCTGTTATGTTTTTGTTCTGCCAGTAGTATACAATAAATGAAGGCCCTCTATAAAGTAAGAAGGCCAGCAAAAAATTGCGCTCGGACCCCCTTGCGGCGGCCGGGCGCGGTTCAAGTATAACTTGTGGGTGTCAGCATAAGTGCTCTCACTTTACGATCACTGCGCACTATGCTCCCCGAGACAAGGAAGTTAAAACTTTTTATTAGAACGCAACACATATATAAACTCAATGTAGACCGAAAATAGCGCGACATAATTCGATTGCAGCGCCATCTAGGGAAGTAACTAAAAACATTTGTTTGCTGTTGTGTATGAGTTGTGTGTAGTTATTTTATGTATGTTCCTTTTCCTTATGTTATTCGCGTTATTGTTTCGCTTGTGTGAATATACATTTTGTCAAGCAATTCACCCAAGGCAGGTTCTTTTGGGGATAAAAGGTATTCTGTATTTTTTAATCCATTTAATAACTTTTATGCTAAATTGCTGAATAGTTCAGGCTTGAAAATGTGAAGAACTAATAAACAAACGAACTTACATTTATAATTTTAGTAAAGTTTTTTTTTGTAAGTACCACTCAAACCGATACCGAAACCCAACTTATAAACACAAAGTATGCTCTGAATTATGACTGGAATTCGTCCCAATCATTGTGGCATGTGTGTAATTGAACCTGCAATAATATGTAAATAATAAGTTTAATAGAAATAAAGTCAAATTCTCTGTTTTCTCTTGCACATACCGCATCATTTTTCTACATCACCCTACCGAGAAGGTCGACTGGCAGAGAATGCCCTGGGCATTAGGTCCGCCTGAGTACAACGTTTGCATTAAGTTATGTAAATAAATAGATACGGTAGTAGAAGCCTAGGTGACAACAAAACCATTGCGCAATCTTTGCCGCACCTTGCATTATATATATTGTATTTAATATTTTTTATAATTTTTCTAGGTCCTTGACTGGCGACGAGCTGTATTATCATTACCAAGAGCACGAGTTCCCGAATTACACTTCCTACTTCGCGCATTAGGTGACGCTGATCTTCTGGCGCTGCGACGACAAGGCCGCGTTCTGTGGGAACGCTACTTAAGTTCAGTTCAAGCAACAGTGGACACTTTATTAGCAACTGTTAGAACGAGGCTACATATACCTCCGCGTCCCGCGGTGCCCACGTCAGCCACGCCCGCCTTTAACGATTCATTTACTCCACCCCGTTTAGAACCACCAGCGGTTGACGCTGAGCCAGAAGAAACTTTAGGGCCCTTAGAAGCACCTTACGCAAGCCCAGCATATAGACGAAATTACTCTGTAGCGTTACTACATGGCTATGAGCTCTGGAACGAATGGGGGGAACCATTTGCTCTATTTCCTCAGTTACCCTGGGATCCTGTTGTGACATCGGAGGCCAGGTTCCTGGGTTCTGCGGCAGGATTCAGACCTGTGGGAGCGGGTGCTGGGGGCTCGGGACGTGAGTTCAGCGAAGCACTTGGAGGTGACCGTCCCCGTGAACAGTTTACTATAGTGATACTTACGTATGAAAGGGAAGCTGTATTGGCAGCCGCATTAGCGAGGCTTCGGGGGTTGCCGTACTTGAATAAGGTAAATGTTTATACGATGCTAATAAATACTAATTACTTAATCTAAGTCATGAAAGATCTTTATAATATTAGATTATTTCAAGTATTCATATTCTATGTGGTTAAAAGCGATGATCACAGAAATAACGGTTCTTTCTTTTTAATAAGTAATTTTAAATTAATTAGGCATAAAACCTACCTGAATTAATGATTCTGTACAAATAACTTTTATTGCGGCATTCGGTCTAATAAGATTGTAGGTTATAGAGACAAGAACAAAAAAATTATAAAGATGTTTTATAACGCGGAAAAGACACCAACTCAACATATTTTTAGTGTTTTAAATTATATATCGACATTAGTTTTGCCAAAGCCTCCTTTCTAAGGAGAGGCCTATGTCCAGCAGTGGACTATTAAAGGCTGTTGATGATGATGATGATTAGTTTTGATTTATAGACAATATAACTTATGTTTGTAATTTTACTTTTAGGTTGTAGTAGTGTGGAACGGCCCGTCGTCCCCAAGTGCTATGACGTCGTGGCCTGAAAGCGGAGCGCCCATAGCAGTCGTTCGGGCGACACGCAACTCACTTAACAATCGCTTTCTGCCATATCATCTCATAGATACTGAGGCCGTACTCTGTGTGGATGATGACGCTCATCTTAGACATGACGAGATTGTTTTTGCATTCAGGTAGGCGAAACACTTCCGCCAATTTGTTCATAAATCCGAAATGTATTTCTATTATTGTACCTAGTTATTGTACCTTATTATTGTACCTATTAAAAACTGGATTTTAATAGACTAGCGATTCTGAGCGATTTTCGGTACACTCTTTTGTTATCGACATTAGTGACTAATGGTACAGTTTTTTACCAATGGTTAGACTGATTTCTACTATTTATCATTTTCTTATATATGAAATTCTCATGTCACAATGTTAGTTACCATACTCCTCCGAAACGGCTGGACCGATTTTTATGAAATTTTGTGTGCACATCGGGTAGGTCTGAGAATCGGTCAACATTTATTTTTCATACCCCTAAATGACAAGGGTGACCCCCTATTTTTATATATATATTTCCTAGAAATAATGTATATGGCAAAACAACGTTTGCCGGGTCAGCTAGTCTTTTATATTTATGACAACGATTGTAGAAGACGTCGAGAAAAATATTGGTGTGCACCGCGTAAAGAATGTATAACATGAATACACTATCTTCGAAGATTCATTCAGAATAACTGCTTAATAAATATACCTAAGTAGGTAGGTAAGTATGACTGTTTTTAACCGACTTCAAAAGAAGTAGGGTTTTAATTCGGATTGTTAAATTTTTTATGTATGTTCGGGCATAACTCCGTCATATATAGACGAATTTTCAAAATATTTTTTTTCGAAATGGTCCATTTAAATTACATATAGATTTTATGATGAGTTTCGTTGACAGACAACGGAACTCTTCAAAAAATGACGGCAAATCAACCAAGATTGCTGATAGGTTTTTAGTGCTCTTTGTTAGTATTGATTGAAGTCGGTTCAACTTTAAAAAAAAAGAATTTTAAATTATAAGTGGCAAGGATTTTTAACGTGTTTTATATTTTGGTTTGTTTACAGAGTGTGGCGAGAGCATCGTGATCGAATCGTCGGCTTCCCAGGTCGATACCACGCCTGGGATCTCAACTTCAACAATGGTTTTCTTTATAACTCCAATTACAGGTTAGTTGTGGCACATGTTTTTACACTAAAATGCCAGGTCATGACTTCGGCCATAATAATTTAAGACTGCCAGTTGTCTTGGCTTGGCTATAGACGATCACCTGTTGACTAGTAATAGCAAAGCGATCGTCTCGTCTATTAAGGAGCATGGACGGTTCTTATATACCTTAGAACCTAGTCATTTACAATCTGTCGTAAATCTTACTCGACCCGGTTGTTTAAAACATCCCACGACATTCAAACACTAAATAACCGGTTTACGACAAATCTCTCTACATGGCAGTTGATGAGTGGCGTCAAAGGCATATAATATAAGAATATATATCTGTGTTAGCTGCGAGTTATCGATGGTCCTGACGGGCGCCGCGTTCGTTCACCGCTACTACCTGTGGGCCTACTGGCGCACGTTGCCGGCCGCCATACGGGACTACGTCGACGAGTTCATGAACTGCGAGGATATTGCCATGAATTTCTTAGTTTCACACATCACTAGGAAACCACCAGTCAAGGTGCGGTTTATTTTTAAATTTTAACTTATTTACATATCTACTCTATATATTTCATTATAAGTATATTTCGTTAGTTGAAGAATTTAAGTATATCGATGAGATTATATCTATCATATAACGGATATCTATATTATAAGTGCTAGCGTTGTGATCTACATTATTTTTGGGATCCATTAGTTGCGTAGAATTTAGGGGAAGTTACACGCATTATCTTCACACGTTTCGAAGCTATTGCTTGCTCGAAAAGCAAATTCTGATATTCTTTGTTTGTAACTAGGGACGACAGAGGGCGACGAGGGATAAATGTGAGACGCCCCGGTAGCAATAAATTGTTAGAACTGATGATTATCATTTTATTCGCCTGTCTTTGAACTTCGGATATTCTAATATGACCAATGAGATATGATCTTTAGTTGAACCTCAAGAATGCGTGTGTACATAGTTTAGTCGAGCCGAGGAAGCTGTCACTAGTGGGCAGTAGTTAAGAGGGCTCCCTGAAATAATTGATTTTCGCCAATGCAACTAATAGTTAATGCTGTACGGTTTATTATTTGGTACTTTGTACAGGTGACGTCACGGTGGACCTTCCGATGTCCCGGGTGTCCGGTAACATTATCTGCAGATGAGACCCACTTCCACGAGAGACATAAATGTATACAGTTCTTCTCACAGGTAACTGTTATGTATATCTTAATTCGAAGTCTCACAAAATATCGTCATAGTTATTGCATGCTTACATGCTCTACGTGCCCATTATAAAAAATATTTTCGATTAGTAGTAATTCTGTTAGAGTCATAAATTTATTATGATCGTCATAATACAGAATGCTTAGACATTAAATCTACCTTTGTACAATATGTTTACTATTTTAATAACTAAATTAAATAAATGCACTTATGTCAATATTATTATATCCGATATAAAATGGTGTTATCTCTCTATTTTCTTAATCATCCACCCGAGTTACGATTTCAAATTTTTTGTTTTTAAATATCATGAAACGTTTATTTTTAATTTAATTGGTTGTATTGAAAGTTAGTCTCATTTAAATTGAAAAGAAAAAAACTACTTTGAATGATAGCAAATTAAAGTACAATGAAGATGAAGTATACAGCTTCTTCGAATTTATCCAAATTTAAGGGCATTTAGTTGGTTTTTGGAAATGGTTGAATTCAAATAAGCCAGTTACATTAAAAAAGTTAATGTTTTTAGTTGAAAATAACAACGACCTTAAATGGTCTTAGACAGCATATTTTGCCCCCAAATCTCTTTATATCTATGTTGTTTCAGGTAATGGGCTACACGCCTCTTCTATCGACGCAGTACCGCGCAGATTCAGTGCTCTTCAAGACGCGGATACCGCACGACAAACAGAAATGTTTCAAGTTCATTTAACATGGTAAAATTTTAATTCTTATGACAATACACCTAACGTTTTTATACACCAAAAGAGAAGTAATTCTAATTAAAAAAATAGAATGTTTATAATTAAGTGTCTTTATCGCAGACCACATATATGTATATATAAGTTCATTACTGAAAATAATATACCTGGTATACATATGTATATGTATAGTGTTATACAGAGTCTGTGCAATCGACGTCTATGTATATTAGTGTCGGTTAGATCATCTAAAAAAAGGAGGTTTTCAATTCGTAATTTTTTATGTTTTGATAAAAATGATGGTTTATTTACAAAATTATATTACTTACCTGAACGGGCAAAAATTTACATACAACAGTTACATGTTAATGTATTCAGGAACGTCTGGTTCCTAAATGCAATAATTACTATCTTGTTTATTTAATGTTTGCCAGTAAGTGTAGTAGTTTTGTTTACAGAAAATTTTGTTCATGTCTTTAATGATATCGAGTATTTGCCTGACGAATTAAATCATGATTCAAATTATCTATTCATTGTTATAACCACGATAATCTTCTCACGGTAATCGATATGAGTACAATCAGTGTTTTTTTCTTGATTCATATTTGATATGCTGCCTGAGTGCTACATCCATTAAGAGTGTTTTCTTTTGATTATAATATTGAACGATATAGAGCTACGAGTAGAAATCAATAATTTATTATCACTTTACTGTTTATGAACACGAGGTACATGCGGTATGATCACAATATTTATTAATAGTTTAATTTATGGTGAGTTAATTTTAATTTACTTTCTATTGCTATTAAGTTCTTTAGGAATTGATCAATTTCATAATGTTCGGTGCTCATACGTAAGAGAAGTTCATAGCTAATTGTAAATACTTATATTTTTATATCTACTTAGATATTTACCCTAAATATTATAAAAAGTAAAAATCGATTTCTGCACCAAAATTGTTAAATGATGTTTGTTTAAAGTTTTTTTTTTTGCTTTAAATAGTACAGAGAGACTAGCATATGTCCAGGTATTTAGCTTTTTACCTAGTTGTCAACGTTTTGTTGACGTTCTAGTGTTTGAAGTCGGGCGCTTGTTAGCTTATATTGGTTTTTATAGACTTCATATTTTTTTGGGACATTTAACCTTTTTAGGCGTTTCGAATTGAATCCTCCAATAAAGAAATTAGGAATGGTTGATATTTAAGTAATAAATTATATATTTAGGTAAGATATTTAAATAATTTAGTGTAATAGCATAATGAAGTTAAATGTAAGTACATTGTGTACATAGAGGGGCGTAGCCAAGATTGTCTGGTTAGGATCAAACTAGAGAAAGTAAACGATATCCTACATAATAATATTAATGAAAGAATATTTAAGGTATTTAAAATGTACAATGTATTTATAACTTAACATCAATCAATCAATTATTATTTATTGTTGATCATAATACATAGTCTAAGGTGTCATTGGATGCAAAGTAAACCATGTCTGGCCGATTAACGCAAAATTAGTATTTTTCAGTAATACATAACATTGATATTCAAAGTTTTCATGTCTAAGTTCCTTTTAGTATCGTTATAATACTCATTGTCAGTTCTGCCAAGGTAAGTACTTACTAGGTACAGCCGATATGCCTAAAAAGTTGATTTGTAATTTAATTGGCATAGAGATGGAGCGTTGCGCGGGGTGTACTGTGTGGCTCCCTGCCCTGCCCTCATCCTGACGTTTACACCTTGGTTACGCTCCTGTATACATATATATGTAAAAATATGTATATATATCAGGTAGGTAGTTTCTCAGTTTACTGACTGCAGAAAATTCGGCAAGTCTAAAGGTGGCTGGTTAGTACATGAGTTATCGAATTGTGTGAGTTCTTCTCAATACCTATTTTGTTTTCTTGTATTTTGAACATGTGGAGACGAACTTATATATATTTACGATTTAGACGATAGTTTTAAACCCATATATATACATTTTATATTACTGTAGTACATGCTTCGAATGGTGAGCATAATTTGTTTAAGAATGTTTTAATTGGCATTACTGTAAATTACAAAAATGTAAGCTGTTATTAATTGTATTTTTTTTTAAGAATATTATGCATTTAACATTTCTATAATATATTTAGTAATGGAAAAGTGTTGTTTCTATGTCCAGCAGTGGACTGCGATAGGCTGATGATGATGATGATGAAGCTGTAAAGTATACGGTTGTATAGTTTATAGCTAAGTTTCTGTAATTGTAATAAATTATATAGACACCTAACATTTTAGGTGTGTGCCGGCACCTGTCGACCGCTGTACCATAGTTTTCAATTTAATATCTTTAGTCATTTTGATCAAATTAGTCAATAAATGAAATCCAAAAAATATTGTTACGTAACCTTTTGTTGTAATTTTAGTCATTATTTTTGGAACCTCTATTTTAGAAGACTGATTGACTATTCTTGACATTTAAGAATTTTTTATTAAGTTGTGTATAACTGTGTGTCGTTTACTTAAGCATGTTTATATTGTAAATGAACCCAATATTATAAATATACAACGATAGTAATTTGTTTATTAATTGTATTTTTTTTAAAGAATATTATGCTTTTAACATTTCTATAATATATTTAGTAATGGAAAAGTGTTGTTTCTTATTTGGCCACCACTAACTACTATATAATCCCTACTAATATTATAAATGCGAAAGTAACTCTTTCTGTCTGTCTGTAAAGCTTTCAACCGCTAAACCGCTGAACCGATTTTAATGAAATTTTGCATAGAGATACTTTGATAAGGAAGGACGGACATAGGCTCGGTCACGGGCAAAAGTTACTCTACTATAAGCACAGTAAAAACTAGCAAATGTGGAAACATACATCAGTAAAATCAAATCGTATTCGATTAATCATAAAATCGTATTAATTCTATGACATCAACATCATTACACTGAACACCTGTGAAGTTATTCCAACGACATCCGACGTCACTCCTCATTGGTAAGCCTCGACACGTGTCTACAAACAAGCGTGTAAACGGGGTGTTTGGCTTGGCTTGTGTGACCTTGTCGTTCGGGGCTAGTGTCGGATTTTTAACACAGATCAAAGGAAGCTCACTGCAAGCGTGTGCTTGTTCCCCACTGCTCAATTTGATATTAGTTGAGTTGAGCAGTCGGGAACCAACAATTCTCTACTGGTGGTTGAGCAATAGGGCTAGAGGGTTTCTTTTCAGCTAGCTAAACTACTGATTGACACTTCTCGGGATCAGAAGGCTGGTCTTTTTCTAGCACAGAGAATTAGCATTGCCATTCAACGTGCCAGTTCGTTCTGTTCCGTTCAATGCTGCCAGTCTTCTGGGAACGTTACCAGTAGGCGATGATGCGGAGGAATTTTTTGATGTTTGTATGTAGATAGTGTAAATGTTGTAAATATTCTTTTAACTTAAGTGCCGCCGTTTATATTTTGAATAAAAATATGTCCATGTCTGCTTTGTTTGCCTGTCTGAAACACACTAAGACACTCGCAAACGTGTAAATGACATCCAAGCGTTTTAAAAGGTTGGAGCTTGTAGACGCTTCCCAAGCCTCGGCAAGCGTGTAAACTATGCATAAGATGTTAACATCGATGTTGATTTAAAATAACAAAAACAATTTATGGAGTTGGTTAAAGTATACCCTCTATACAATATTACTTTAACGCAATACAACGTTCACAGTATGTGATAAATAATCTATGGGAAGAAAGTTAGGTTTTACTTTAAAACAAATGAGTTTTATTGATGGTACTCACATAAAATCTTATGTCACCTTACATAATACATAATTTCACAAGCTTCCTCAAAACAGTTCTTTTTCTTAGTATCTGTAATCTAATCTAAGTATCTCATTTTTTATATCCGTTTCAAGATTATCCGTGTGGTGACGGATTAAGAATACGGAGTGTCATCGTTCCTATTTATCCCGTGGGTGTCGTAAGAGCCTACTAAGAGAGCAAACTACGCAGGACAACAGCACTGCAAAGAGAAGGAAAACTTGAAGTAGGTCAAAACCTCCCTAAGGTTCTCCTTAGGGAGGTTTTGACCTTCTGCCTATGTCCAGCCAGTGGACTGTTAAAGGCTGCAATGATGATGTGAAAAATGGCCAATGTGCACAGTACCGACGCGTCAATACACATTGTGGGATTATATATCCATGGAACGGTGGATAAGGCGGCAACATCCTATTTAACGTGGGCGTTAAAATAGTGTGTTTTCGCCTTAACTAATAAAAAATCTTAGTTTAAGCCATAAAGTACACTAGGTACACAATATAGATTATATTGGAAAAATATTTAAGTATGGATAGCTCGGAAAGTTATCACATTAAAGTATTTCAGTATAGTTTCGCATTCTATCGAAATTCGCACATGACCTACTCGTATATGAAGTCGAGAGAACGAGAGATGAAATCTTTCAAGCCTACGTACCTACGGATTAAAACAGTTGGAGAGGCTTGGGAGAAGAATAAAATATTTAGAAGAACAAGACACTATAAATCAATAGTAAATGTTAATATATTAGCGACTCTATATCCGGCAGCAACATCCAACACTTGTCTTGTTGCCGCAACCACAACCTCATAGGATGTCCACTACTCAAATTACTGAATACTTGATAATTACGTGGATCATGGTCAACCGCAATCCTTATAGTGTAGTGTTACGTTACACTTCTGTAGGACCCTGATCGTTTCTTGATTGAATGTTATTAGTATGACGTAGCGGATGGCGTAGCGGTTTAAACTGTCACCTCGCCGGTTCCTACTGCGTTGAGTGTTGTAGGTTCGATCTTTACAACGGACAACTTTGCGTGACCCACAAATTGTTGTTCCGAGTCTGGGTGTTCTTTGTGTGCTTTTCATTCATATTTGTAAATAGTGGTCTGCTGTAATTGAAGGAGTACCATTAACAAATACCAGTGTGAAATGTATTTTCGATATTTTGTGTACATCCTTAAATAAATCAATATAAAAAAACAGCGTGAGGGATC